AAGTAAGAAAACATGAAGTAGTAGAAGCTGGGAGGAAGGAAAGGAGAGAAGGAGGGAGGGAAGGAGGAAGGGAGGGAGGGAGGGAGGGAGGGAGAGAGGGAGGGAATGATACAAAATTGCCTGGTGGCACACAGCTGTAGTCCCAACACTGAGAAGGCTGAGACAGGGTCTCAATACATATCTCTGGCTCTCCCAGGGCCACATAATGAGACCCTGCCTCAGAAAAAACGACAATAGACACAAGCCAAGGAGTATGAGCATACACAACAGGAATGCTTGACAATGATGAAATCTCTTGAAACAAATGGAAATGTGAGAAACCTCTGTGAAGAAATGGTCATAAAACAAAACACCAAGATGCTGGGCAGTGGTGGAGCCCCCTTTACTCCCAGCACTCCCAGCACTTGGGAGGCAGGAGCGGGTGGATCTCTGTGAGTTTGAGGTCAGCCTGATCTACTGAGATAGCTCCAGAATAGCTGGGACAACACAGAGAAACTCTATTTTGAAAAATCAGAAATAAACAAAAGCACCAAGTGGAAGGTGCAGCAGACCCAACAGACAATGCCTGTCACTGCCACCAAGTCCCTATCACATAGCCTTCACTGCAGGGGAGGGGAGCCCAAGTCTGAGCAAGAAAAAAACATAAACTCAGTTTCCCTAATGTCTGTGTACAATGCAGATCCCTTTCATGGTCTCTCACTTCCACCAGGTGACTGCAGCAGGGACAACCCCCCACACACACATCAGTTCTGCCACATCTGCCCAGGGCAGCAGCAGCAGATTTTGCTGGTGAAACACCCCACCCCCAACTCAGCACTCCTACTAGGCTTTGGCCCCACCTAATACAAGTTTGATGTCCAACCATGACCCCTCTTCCTTGATTTCCACTAATTTGGTCTACCAACCAACAGACTGTGTGTTTTATTATGATTTTTTAAAGACAGGGTCTCAATTCGTGTGTATCTCTGACGATCCTGGAACTCACTATGTAGATCAGGTTAGCTGCAAACTCACAGACCTCTGCTTGCATCTGCTTCCCAAGGGCTAGGACTAGAGGCGTGCACCACCTGTGCTCAGAGAAGTGCAGATACAGGGAGTCAGGGTGTAGAGAAGGTTCCGTGCTTCCCAGACCTCCCAGATACTGCCTGAGCTACAAATTCAGAAACTTCCAGAAGTTTCTCTGAGCCAGGTGCTAAAGGTTGGTACGGAGACCTCATAGAATACGCATGATGGATCAGCTCAGCCACCTTGGTATTTGTGATCAGGTCAACATCAGTCCCTGGCCTCCCTTATTCAGGGAGGATAAGGCTCCTCCAGGCTTGGAGGGTGAGGGATTCCAGCTCAGGAAGGCCATTAGCAAACCAAAAGAAACATCTTGTTACCGGGATATCAGAAGCTGTCTGGCAGGAAATGGGGCCCAGGATTAAATACGTAGCTCAGCAGTGTCACAGCCAGGGGCAGTTCCATCTCTGGCTCCTATTCCCCCTTTCTCCTTTCTGGTCCTTGGAAGATTTTTCTAGAGTCAGTTTGTAATCTAGAAGAGGTAAATCAGAGCTGGGTGGTGACTGCACGGCTTAGAGAGGCTAAAAGTCTGAGTCCTTTGTTTCCCATGGGGAGGCCACTCACCTCTGCTTCTTTCTGAGTTCCTAGGGGGCAACTAATGGCAAAGACCTCAGAGCTGCCCCATCAGAGCCACCCTGCTCCTGCCCCTCCTCCAGAAGTCAGAATTGACTCTAACAGCCATTGTTGTTGAGCCCACCAGCTGAATGCACATGGCCGCACTGCCCTCTCCCTGTCACCCTGTCCTGCTTCCTTAATCCATTTGACAAGAGCACCAGCATCACGCTTGCTTTCCCAGCCTAGCTGCTGGGGGGCAGTGAATATCTGGCCCTCTGGTAAAGCCCTGGTTCCTAGATGGCAGAAGAATTTGACAAAAAGTTTAAGCAAGCTTTGACTTTCCCAGTGAGGTAGACAAGACAGGCATCAGGACCTGGGCAAAATGCCAGTTTCCCTCTGCCCTTCATATTGAACATAAAGAATCTGATTCTTGTGACATCCTCACTTTCCAAGACATTTTTTTTCTTTTTTTTGGTAACTGAGTACAGTGGCACATGCCTCTAATCCCAGCACTAGGGAGGCAAAGGCAGGTAGATTTGTGAGATAGAGGCCAGCTTGGACTACTTAGCAAGTTCCAGGACAACCAGAGCTGTATAATGGAGAAACCTTGTCTCATAAAGACCAAAAAATAAAAAGGGGGATGGTAACTTTTCAACAAGCCTCTCCCCACCCCACCAAACAGTGTATCCCCAAATAACAAAAGCCGACGGTGGGGCTGTCTGGCTTAAGCTATTGTGTCCTCCTGGTCTGATCTGTTGGTTGGGTATGAGGGGTCTGAGAGGCCAGAAATGGAGCCACCCATTGCCAACAAAGGCATGATGTCCCCTGTCTAGGATAGGGCGGTCGCCCCTCCCGTAGCTCTTTTCTGCCTCATTTGCATCCCACTCGAAACAGAATAATTTTTGATACAAACCAACTCCTTTTTAATGTAGAAAACAAATATCATGTACATAAATATGATCTGGGGCATAAATAAAGTTAAGAAAATAAGAGACATATACAAAATAAATTACTTATAAATATCACACTGCCAAGTAAGTGCTGCAGAAAGGACTCCACATCTCCCCTGCAGTCACTGAAAAATTTAGGGTTTCCTAATCTTGTTGTTCATTTGCAAATGAGGGGTGCAGGTTGATACAGGCAGCGGGGGAACATACTGATCCACATAATGCTTGATGAATAGGGACAAGAGTCAGGAGCTGGGGGCAAGAGGGCACAGGTAGATGGCCCATGAGCTCTATGCTCTGGGGTTGGAGAGCCTAGGGTGAGCTCTGAGAAGGGGTGTGACCTGGGCAGATCTGGAGGCTCATGACCAAGACAAGCTGCTGAGATACAAGTGGCAGTTTAGTTACCCACTCAGCTGAGAAGTCCACTCTTGTGCCTAGATGTCCATTTGACATCTAGAGGTGGGGGAAAGGGGAATTAAGTGGTCAGCTGGAACTTTTAATCCCAAAACCATCCTGCAAGGCTCCCAAGGTTTTCCTGGCTGCCCTTTGCTCCAAGTTTGTGATCGCCCCATCAGTTTTAGCCAGGAGGCAACTGGGGGCAAGTAGAGACCCCACGAGGTTCACTCAGTCAACACATAGTTCAGAGCCCACCCCCTGCACATGAATTTTAAATGACTTCACATCTTCTGGCTGGCCTAGAGATCGAGAAACATTTCATAGGAATGACTTCCCCGTTAGCGGAGGTATTCAAACAGAACTGGAGTAACCTGACCACAGATCAGCAGCTGCCTAAGTCAGTAGGGCTCAGATGTCAGCTAGGCAGGTGATCAGTTTAGGTTCACGATCCAGTCTAGCCACTAAAACCACACATGGTCAATATAAGACTTAAAATATGTACAGCTTCTAGCGCATCTTCCTAAAGGGGAAGTTCATGGGACACTGGGGTGTTCTTCATCCTGTCAGAACCCCATCACTTCTGGAAGCTGGGGCTCTTTATCTCCAAGTCCTCCGTTATCCTGAAAGGATCCATGCTGTCCGAAGCCAGCGACAGAGGCAACACTTTCGACTCCAGCTGGTCTCTGGGTTCCAAGAACCGGGCAAATATGGGGAGAAAGAGTGAGGGTTTTTTGTTCAGGAGATCTTGCCTGTATTTGTTCCTGAAGAGGACGACATAGAGGTGGTGATTCGGAGATTCGTACTTGTTGTAAGTTATATACTCCCATTTCTCATTGAAGGTACAGTCTTTCGGCGAGTAATGAGTCTTTGGAGAAAGAAACAAGCATATATGAGCATAAGCACTGTGGTGGTGTCCTGTCCCCACAGCCATCATAAGTGTTCTTTCCTTGAAGTACATGGAAAGCCAAGCATGGTGATGCTTACCTCTCATCCCATGGCTTGGGAGGCAGAGGCAAGAGATCAGGAATTCAAGGCCAACCCGTGTTGCATGAGACTGTCCCTGTTAGCTCACCCCACAAGTATTCTAGCACTTTCTCTTTAGACAGTCTTACTACATGTAGCCCTGGCTGGCCTGGAACTCATAATGTAGACCAGGTTGGCCTTGAACTCAAAGATTCACCTGCCTCTGCCTCCTGAGTATGGGATTAAAAGCATCCCAACTATGTCAGGCCTGGGTTTTCATTTTGAAACAGTCTCAAGTACCCTATGCTGACCTTGAACTCCTGATTCTCCTGCCTTCACTTCCCAAGTGTTGGGATGACGAGTGAGCACCACGGTGCTGGGATTATGCAGTGCTCAGTTGAACCCAGAGCTTTGAGCATGCTAGGCAACCACCTCACCAGCTGAGCTCCATTCCCCAGCTCTGGTATGTTTTTGAAACAAGGTCTCACTCACTCTGTAGCCTTGACTTCACAGCAATCCTGCCTCAGTTTCCAGAGGGTTGGGCTGGTAGGTGTTTACCAATTATCTATCCCAGCCTTTGGCAGAGAAATCCCCAAGCAGCTACTGGCAGGGTGCAAGTCTCCCTGGCTTTTAACTAGTGACATTAAATTCTGATGGTTATTTCTCAGCTTTCTGAACTCTGCCCCCTGTTTAGGCAGTTTTTGGGTAGTAACTGCAGCCTTGCCTGGGGCAGGGAATAAAGCGAGAGTTCCTGTCTAGACCTGAAGCACTAGCTTTTCTAATGCTGAGGTGGTTGCGTGTCTCTTATTATTGTGAGTAGAGAAGCCCCCTCACAGGCAGCTTGCCAGGATCTGCCTGATAATCCGCAGCCCTTCCCCCACGCCCAGGACCAAGCCCCGACCCTGTGGGTGGCCGGAAATGTTTGCTGCAGGAAGCTGTCCCTGGTCCCCATCCTCTTAATACCAGAACATTCCTAGTCCCCAGGACTGAGGTACCAGTGGCAGTCTCCCAAACTGGTGCCACATCCCTTTGGGAAGCCTGGATGGTTCGGTAAACACAAGCCGCCTGCTGAGGTCGCTGAGCTGCAGGTGGAAGAGCGATGGCAGATAAGGCTCTGATAACAGGCTAATTCCAAGAACCCACAGCTCCTGCCCTGGCTGATGGCACGGGATAGCCACCAGGCAGTAAGGGCCATGTTCCCTGAAAAATGTTAAGTGTAGATAAACACAGGATGTATTTCTCTTGGAGAATTCTTAGGGAGAATTGATCAGCCTTTCTTCATATAGGAATGATAGATTGTGGGGCTTCTATTTAAAAAAAAAAAAAAGTCAGGGAGAAGTTGTGATGGAACCATGCCCAATAGATAAGGGGCGGCACTGGAATTGAGGGGCAAAGCTCCCATGGGCATTCCCACCCCATTTAGATTAGGGTAGACGGGGGATCGAACCTTTCTCCTAGTGCCCTAGCCACAAATAAATATCTCAGGAGGACAGTGTGGTGGGAGATTTGTTCAGGGCTGGGGTATCAGTTTTCAGACAGGCAGTGGAACCCCTTCTTTGTAAACCGGCTTCTCTGCATACCCCTTTCTTTCTTTGTGATCTTTTCATGTAGCTAAATCCATCTCAAAGCCACAAAACAATTTTGAGACTCTTAAAGACAAAACAAAACAAAAATTTTGAGCCGGGTAGCCATCGTTCCCCATAGGGGACCTCCTAACCCCAGTCCCTGCTCCTCCCAGGAGCCCAGGGCTGTATGGGAGGCCTTGGCCAACAGACCTCACACGGCCTCCTCTTGTACTGCCAAAGGGAGGGCTGAAGGCTTCTTTGGACTCGCAGCTTTTGCTCCCACAGAGCCCTGGCCTTTGTATTTCCAGCCTCCCGGGTTTCAGGGGTTACCTTGACCTGACCAGCCCTCCCTAGCCCCATTGCCCTAGCTCCCAAGCAGGTGAGCCCCTTAAGGACATTCTAAAATATCCTAGTCCCTACATCACACCGTGTTCCTAGGACTTAGAAATTGACTAAAAGACACTTCCTTTCTTCTTTTTTTCTTTCATTTGAGGGAGAGAAAGGAAATCGAGGACCACACACGCAAAGGCTGGAGATGAAAATGGCAGAGGTGTGTTTTCCTGTTCAATATCAAAGGGGCCGAAAGCTGAATGGTACTCAGCAGCCAGCCGAGCCAGCCTTCCCGAGGATTAGACATGCTCCGCTGGGCTCGTCATTCCCGCCTACAGCCTGGGGCCATCGCTTTCCGAAGGGGGGTGGGCGGCGGCGGCTGTGGTAACATTAGTTTCACTAGCACTAGCTACCTTGCTCTCTTAAGTTCCCTGTAGGCCTGAGCAGGGGGTGTAAAGACCCAACACAGACCCAGCGCAGCTCCGAGCATCCCGCCTCGTGGGGAATACTCACCAGCCCCTGTATCTTGCCGTCCGCGCTCATGCAGAGGTACCGCACGCTGCTGACGTCCTTGATGACAATCGTCTTCACAGCGACCGCGCGGAACTCTAGCAAACCTGCGAACAAGAGAAGGAAGGAGATGCAGCTGAGACCCAGCAACACGTGGGTACGGCAGAACTACACTGTTCGCCCCTCCCCAGACCCAGTCTGAGAGTCCAGGGGATTTGTTAAGGCCACGGTAGCACGCACGCGAGCGTAAGGGACCCGAGGGGACGCGCTGGCAGACACTCACTTCGTTCGTTTTGTTCATCCTCGCAATCCACGGAGCCGTCGCTTCGGATATGCACGAAACAGTTGGAGATGTGGGGACCAGCAACGTACAGGTACTGCAGGCGGGTGCTCTTGCCCCAGCCGTAGAGAAAGAGTGGGTTTGCATTGGGCAGAGTCAGGGATCGCC